TTGCCTAACACATGGGTACACAGTGCAAGCCATCCTGAGGGTCATTCTATTATAATTACTGGATAACACTGGCAACCCCATAGGGCAACAGTCAAGAACCACTTTCAGTCCAAGGGCTGAGATCAGTTTCAGGGAACTTTTTAAGGACTGTATTCCATGGATGGGGTGAGATAAAAACGGCAGCATGTTTTAGCTTCAAGCTCTTAGGGCCAATAACTAAGCCTTGAGAGAAGTATTTCAACCTTGTAGAATGGGGCAAGAACTGCACCAAATCTAAGAAACATCAATTAGTGGGTGATTGGAGAAATGGAGGGGGAATAATATGTGGGAAACCAAGAGAGCCAAAATGGAATCCCAGGAAGGATGGACACAAGCCCTGACCTGAGGCTTCCCACCTCCAATACAGAATATATATGCCCTGCAAGAACTACTAATGGAAATAAAAGTATGACATACACCTCTGGGCTTGTCCTTCCTTGCTTGCTTATTTATTTAAATCTGTTATATTCCATCCAGCTACTAAAGTCTCAGGATTGTCTTACAATAAAAACAGAATAAAAGGCAATCAAGCACACCACCCAATTAATTCCAATAAAATAAAATCCACATTAAAACCTTGTCAAACCTTAAAATAATGGGAGAATAAAAAGGTTTTAGCCTAGCACCAGTATTGCCAGCAATAGTTTGTGGGCTGAGAGTTAACCCCCTCACAAAATCCCCTATACTCATACAAAGGTTTGTCACTGGACTTACTCAAAGGTTTATCACACTCCTCTCGATTGGAATGTTTTGTTTTACGTGTCAATATTTTCTAAACTTCTATATCACCAAGCGTGCTTATTTATTTCATTTATATCTGCTCAAATGTGGCACTCAAGGCAGCTAACAATGATACAGATGAAAAACAAAATCAGAATTAAAACTAACATAAAAAGAAAAATTAAAATACATAAACTTCGTTAAAAGCTTACCTTTTAGGGAATATGTGACTGCTTTGATGAACTTTCTGTGTTTGTATGCTTAAGATTTTCAAAATGCCTCTCTTCAGCAAAGGAGCAGGACAGAGAATTTTATTTTCATTAAAGCGATACATAAAAGATGGTTTTATTCATAACATAAAAAGTGTTATGAATAAGGGCCTCTGAAACACTTCTACTAGTAGAAAAAGTGTTTCTTTTTTAATGCTTAATCTTGTATTGATATCTTCATCAAGGGTCACAAATTCATGAGCACCCCTTTTCTTCCTAAGCTAAGAGCTAGTGGAAGACAATATTCTCACATTGCTGATATTCTTCTGAGGCACTTGAGGCCCTTCAAAAGTGAATCAATTTTTGAAAAATGAAGGGAGGATGACCCACCCACATCCACAGTTCCCAGCTTAGATGGAGGGCTGGAGCTCAGTTATGTCACAGCACATTTTGGGAGCATCCCAAGCTCCTCAGAAGCACAACATGGCACACATGAGCTACGGCCATCCTCCTGAGCTTTGAGGTGCACTTCAGAGATGCTCAGAATTCTCGTGAAGCTCAACAGATTGAGCTCACATGCCAAAATTGCCTGGCTCACTAAGGCCAGAGGTGAAACTGCACCAAGACATCACTGGGGTAGGAAGGCATTCGAGAGTTCCTCTCCCATGCCACTTTAGACTTGACTTTCAACACACTTGCCAAAAACATGGTCTGTCCCTGGCATTATGAAATCCTATGTACACTGATCTAGAAGTAAGACCATGAAGTACTATGGAACTTGCTTCCAAGGGAACATACTCTGGCCTTGGCTATTCTCTGAGAATATTCGGACATTTTTTCTCACTGTCAGACCACAAAAGGATATTAAGACTACTATGTGCAAAGCACAGAATAGATCTCACTTTATTTTCATGACAAATTTTTCCAGGCTCCCTACTTCACTGTTAGTCTGTGTCATATATTGTGAAGCTCAGTGTCAAACTCTGGTTAGTTAGGCGGTTAGTCACGCTCCAGAACAATACAAAAAGTCAGATAGAAGGGTTGCAGAATCTTTAGGCAAGGAATTCAACAAAAAAGAAAATCCAGGAGTGAGGTGGGTGTGAGTGACACTGCTAAAAGCTTTTTCTCTCCCTTTTTACTGGCTATTCAATGGAATGGTACATGCTTCCTCTATTCAAATGTAAGTAAAATCAAGGAACAGTTTCTCAATAAATCAAAGAAAGGGTGCTCACTAAAATACTCTTCAGGACAGCATTATCTTCAGAAACACAAAGGATTAAAAGCACAGCATAGATTCTATAAGGCATTTAATAGTACAATGAAATTCTTCACTCACAACTAAATGTTCAAAACCAAAAATCTCAAAGGGTTTGGAAACTTCACTGGAACCTGAAATGCCCTTAGGTTTCCCTCCAAGGAGCAAACTCTCTTCATCATAAAGTACATATGACTAAGTTGTGATGTTTTTAAACTCACTGGGGACAAGGATCTTGCCTTTTGATTTACCTCCAAAGTTCCTACCATAGTTCTGTTATTCCATATGAATAGACAACAAGCCAACCATGGCTTAAACAATCATTGCTTTCCTAACTTTGTTTTTTCATCACTTATGCCTGCCATGCATTGAGTCTTCACTTCCCTTTGGTCTGTCATAATGTACTGTACATGTGTGCTGTTACAAAAACTATTTTTCTCCAACTTGGTCTTTGCTAGGTGGCACCTGATAAGCAGTGACAATTGAATAGTGTTTATCATCAGGATTTCTTGCAATCTAGAAATCTAATACTTTGAGAAGGACACATATCTGAAGGATAATATGTATGATGGGGTGTCTGAGGAACATGGATACAATTGGGGAACAATCTTGAGCCATTTTGTAATTTTGCTCCACTCTGGAACCTGAATTCAATAACTAGTTTCTAGAAACCCATTTTCTACCATAAGACTTTATGACCATTCCAATTATACCCATTCAACTTTATAAAGCAACATAAAAGGCAATGGTAAAGTCTTAAAACTGGGATGGCACCTTGTGGCCCTCCAGATGTCATTGTACTCCAAGGCCCACCAGCCTTGGATGGCCAATGATCAGGGATTATGGGAGTTGTAATCCAATAGCATTTGGAAGGCCAGAAGTTGTGCAGTACTTCACCTGAATATCATGCACACATGTATAAAGGTATGACATTATCCTGTATCACAGGGCTCCTCAACCTCTTTTGGTCTCATGCTTGCATTTGGAGAGCTGAGAAAGTGCTGTGGGCCTTGTCATACAGTAGCTGCTAAGTGGGAGCCTTTCTCGTTAAAAGATAGCTAAAGAGGTGTGGGAGTAGAGACAGTGAGGCTAAAGGTTGGGAAGCTGGGTAGGGTAGGGGACAGCAAGGTAGAGGGGAGAGAACAAGCAAGGCTAGAGACCAGAAAAAGACAGCCCTAACATTTTCCAAGGTTTCTGTTTAAAATGTATCTTAGGAGTGCACTGAGAGAGGGGACCGAATTGCCATGGTGCTGCACTGCAGACCCCTGCTGTGTCAAGCCTGACCACTGGTCTATCAATTCTGAGTGGTGTTAGTAGGCAACTCTCAGGCAAAGAGCCACAGATGCATTCTCATCTGAGCAGAAACATACAGGCAAGAAAACTGAGGTTGCAGCACCAAGGAGAGCTCCCAGAGAACAACTTGCTCCAGCAAGACATCAACCCAGACTGAAACCTTTTATGCTTCAGTGCAGAGTTCATCTTCCTGACTTCACCACTTCCTACAAAACAGAAGAGTTATAAAGAGACATCTAGAGCCTCTGTCTCTCCAAAGGAACATGCCAGGTCCACTGCTCATGTTCGTTCACTGGCTTCATGGAATGTGAAGCTCTTGGAGAAGGGGGAGCTGGCTCATATTGGAGCTAGGCTCAGGATCTGCGGATGCTAGACCAGGCTTATATCTTACGCATTGTACATCCAGGAGTCTTGGGTTTGACAGTAAGGCCCAGAGCCTCCACTTTTGACACCACTGGTTCTTCAGCCTCTGAGTCCAGGCCATAACATCCTTGAAAACATCAAGCCAATACTATATATCAAAGAGTTTGATCCTGTGTCTTTTTAGGGTTTGTGAAAAAGATGTGGAGGTCAGCAAGCCTTAATTAAAATCAAGGTGATTGTTCTACTGCAGAAGGAGCCTGTCAACACAAAACTAGTCAGGTATAGGAGGTGTTCACAGGGATGAGTAGGTTGATTTCCAAACCTCCACAAATCCTCCAGCATCCTGGTATGAGATCCTGCTCAGAGCATCACAAGCTAACCCTCTTCTTCCACACTGAGCTAGGCAAGAAAGGGGGAAGGTTCTCCTGTCACCCTGCTCTGGTTGGAGCAGAAAGGACTGTGTGTGCAGTTTCCAAATACAAGAACACTATGAAAAAATCTTCTTTTCCTGTGTTGCACTGCTGAGAAAAAGCAGCTCCAGAGAACACACCTATTCAAATGAGCACAGTGTCCCAAATGATTTTATATAACATACATACATATAAAATGCACAAATTACATATCAGATGAGTGAACAGGTTATTTATGTCCTTTGTGAATAAGCGCTAACCTTCTTAGATTTTTAAAAAAGCAAGCTGCAAGGCTGATCTTGAGTAAGGAGTTCTAGCTAAAATCGTGCTCCAATATTATCTGCAGCCATCCTACAGGCTTTCCATCTTTGAACTACCCCGTACAGTACATGCAAGAATATTCACACTTTCGGGAAGACAATATAATCTCTGCATTATTCAACCTTCCAAGAAGAATGTATTCCCTCCCACTACATAGCACATAATTGGGCTTGAGGTGTTAGCTTCTGGTTTACCAATTAATGTGGCGATCTCACAGTACACCATGCAATGACTGCTGTCTCTAAGCTGTTCACAGTCACTGCTATTAATATTGATCTGTGGGTGTATGCGAGTGTATGCTGCAAGCAAAGGCAACGTGCTGGACCGTGAAAGATTGAGCTGGAAGTCTTTGCTAATAGAGATGTCAATGAAGCAAAAGGGTTTTCATACCTGAGTTAACTAGCTGCTGCTCCATGACCCCACAGCCCAAGACCTCCATCCATTCTCCTTGGAAGCTGATCTCCATCTCAAAGGAAGGGTGAGTAAATGGGAAGTAGCAGTCCACCCATCTAACATCAAGTGCTGTGCCATTTTTAAAAACAAACAAAACAAAAACATAGGACAAGTGATTAAAAGGTTTATTTTTTCCACCCTTACTAAAGCTTGTCCCTCAGTTAATGGCATAAATTACTGCAATCCATGGTAAATAATGAAGTAAATGACAAGAATTTTTTTTCTGTGTGAGACACTAAATCCTGGCTCTTGTGCAAGTGGGGGAGAGGATAGCCTTGTCTTTTCTAATAAGAAAAACACTTTGTGCAGTTCAGGCACCCTTTAAAGCCAAATCAATCACTTGTTGAACTCCAGTAACTACCTGGAATTGCAGGAAAATGAGCCAACTCATGGGCAAAGCAGGTACTTTTGTTATGCTCAGTAACTGGAAATGACTAACAGCTCTCCAGGGATATAACTAAATTTTATTATTATTATTTTACAATTTGATTTTTAGCTATTAATGTAACGACCCTCTTTTAGCAAATAAATCTCTATAGCTTTTTGCACTATTGTTGTAACTCACTTTAAATACAAAGCTTTTCTCCCCTGATTTGTGCCTCTGCATGAATATTTTATACCATTGTATAATGAATAAAAACTGTATATAAAGTAGTGATGTGTTTCTAAATTATATGCAAAAGCACCATTAAGCAAAACTTCCGCAAAGACAAGAGAGAGGTCGGATATCTTTTAAGGCCCTCACCCTGTGTCACAGATAAAGCAAAGCATATTTGCTTTCAAAGCTATTTTGGATGGGCCTTCTTGGAAGAATGGTAAAGAGGTTGTTAAGATTAAACAGGTACTATAGCAAAGCTACCCAGTTTCCAAAAGCCAGGATAGTTGTTTTAGAGTCATGCCAAGGCCTTATGTCCTTCAGTTTGTTAGGAAATGCACCAGAAATAATTGCCCTAAAACTGCTTTCCTCAAGTATATTCCTAAAATAAGAGCTGCTTTTGGCTGTGAGAACTGAAACTGCTTCCTTTATCAAAGTAGCTTTGCTCCCACCCACACCTTCCAGTAAGAGAAATGGGGGTTATCGCCTGTGTGTAGTAACAGGGAAGGAGAAGAGCTTTATAAATCCACAGCAAGAGGTACTGTCTTTTGTTCTTGGCCTCAGGAGAGGAATATTTCACCCAGCCAACTTTGAAGCCCCTGGCCTATTCAAGTAACCAATATGGCCACAGAGAAGGAGAGTTTAAGTTTGCTTTTTAAAATTGTGCATTCTATTTCATCACTGCATTCAATAAACTGTTATCATCTTCAACACACAAGGGAAGGTTTATTCCCTTCCTAAGTATCCTCAAATCTGAAGTGAGGTGCTTTGGCTGGATTAGGTTGTAAAGAAGGCCTTGGGAAGTAGGGAAAGGTTAACTAGAAAATTAATTGGTTTGTTAAGACTCCCCAGCTGCCAAGTACAAGGTAGACTTCTAGACTTATCACAGAAGAAGAGGGGCCCAACGATATCCGGCTAGAGCCATTACCTTGGGCAGTACTGGTAAGAACTGCTAACAAATGGGGAGGACAGGAGCCTGCTTGGATTGGTTGGCTGGCATCACTCCATCACCAGGAGAATGAGGCTAAAAAGCCCTGACTTTGGAGAGTCTTTGTCTCCTGATGGATTCTGATCTGGTGAGAGCGGTCACTCCTTGACCAGCTGCCAAAGTCTTTACAGCAAGGAGGTCTGTGTCAGGCAACTCATACAGTTAGGTGAGCTTTATTGTTTTATTTCTGTGCTGTAACAATGAGTCTGAGTGCTTCGGATTGGGATTTTAGGCAATTTTGATGCTTTGTATTATTGCCGCTACCCACTTGCCCTTCCCCCTTCCTTTTTTGTAGCCCACCCCCCTCCCTTCTCTACTGTCATAATAAACTCATTTAACATGATCTGGTATTTAGATGAATCATAGTGCTAAATCCAGTATCTTAGCTGCAGAGGTTAAGCTTGGTCACTGGTAAGTTTGGTCCAACAAGGGTGGGTGGGAGAGGAGCTTCTCTGACCTTCCATTACAAAGGTTCCTACTGATTGATACAGAAGTCCAACCTTTACTTTGATGAATAGGTCTGGAAAAGTCAGGGCAAGAAGCAACTGTGACAGATGATAAAAAGGTTTCAATAACCAACAGGCAACAAACCAAGGAGAAAGGAGGAGATAGTGGGTGTTCACAGCTAGACAAGGCTGGTTCCTTCAGTAGAAGGAACATGAAGCATTTACATGGAGAACAGAAAATCCACATAGCAATAATTAATGGATTAATATAACCACAAAGAGGTATCAGGAGGATTTTTGCATGAATTACTCCTGGCCTAGTGCTGAACAGCATACTATTTCATGATTATTGATTAATTCATTTTAGTTTATTAAATTTATAGCCCAGTTTACCTCCAAGGAACTCAAGGTACCCTACAGGGATTTTCTTCAAGATGATTTCATCCTCACAACAACCCTGTGAGTTGATTAGGCCAAGAGATAGTGACTGGCCCTAGGTTACCCAATGAGCTCCATGTTTGTTTGGGGAATTTTTCCCACTCATACTCTAACCACTGTATTATGTATCTGATTTGTAGGGAACAAAAACCTAAGATGTTGTAAACATATTAAAAAATACATTGTTCAGCTAGATCACAGAAGACTGATTTTATGATGAGTTAAAGGACTCCTTGAATACAGCATCAGTAAACTAAAGGCAAATGCTGTATCTAACACTGCATTCACTAGATCAGGGGTTGGCAACCTGTGGCTCTGGAGCCGCATGTGGCTCTTGAATCCCTCTGCCGTGGCTCCGTCGCTCAAAACACACGCCGGCACAGCCACTGATCTGCTCAAAGCGCCACTCAGGAACACTCAGTGCTAGTCAGTTAAGTAAATCAGCTGGTTAAGTAAATCGCTACATTCCTCTGCTGAACAAACTTCCTGAAGGCTCTCATGTTACATGAAACACTGCTGAAAAGATTCTCTTTGTCCCAGTGTAATCTCCTTCATCTGAATGTTAAAAGCTGTGCTTGGGACCTGTCACAATTCACAACACTTGACTGTTTATCTGCTAATCAGTCACTAAACACACCTATATCTGCCACCAGCCCCAATTTACTGAGCTTCCCCGCCCCCTCCAACCATGGATAAATCCAAAGAAAAGAAAAGTTTCTGAAGAAAACCTGATGTTTAATGGTACGTGGGTAGATTCCTTTGCTTTTACTGCTAACAAACTTACGGGGTTTGCTGTTTAATGCATGCAGCCCGTTAGCACTGACTTTGACTCTGCAGGAAGCTGTTCTCCTATTCAAAATATATGAAAGGAATCCTACTAGTTTATAATGTAAGATTAAAAATAACAGTTTTTAGTGACTGAACAAGAGCTGCAGCTAAATCATAATGAAGATATAGATCTACTTCTTTGTTTTAAGAAGATTCTTATAAAAATTCCAGCAACATTATTACATTGGGAGAGGGATGTTTGTTCAATATTTCACCACGTGATAAAAGGATGAGGGCACACAGAAGCAGACGGCATTTTTGGTTTGCTGCAGGTGGCATGTTTGGTTTGCTGCTAGTGATAATAGAAGTTCGGCTTTTAATTTCATAAATACGAGGAGGACTCAGACAGACATTGAGTATTTTATTTGAAAGTAACTCAACCCAGCGTCTTTTTTTTTTCAGAGTTCAAAATGTTTTTGTTGCATGCAGAAATAAAAATTTGTTTTCTCTGTAGCAGTGTATTGATTTTATAAATGCAACACAGTATAGTTTTTTATACATAGCATAAAGGTAAAAAACTATATATGCAATGTTATCTTTATTTAAGATGTCAAAAGGGTTTTGTGGCTCCCGGTGTTTTCTTTTCTGTGGGAAATGGGTCCAAATGGCTCTTTGAGTGTTAAAGGTTGCCGACCCCTGCACTAGATGGTCTAGGCCAGCGGTAGCAAATACCTGTTAGCTGCCCGAACCACTGCACACAATTTGGGTCTTTAAAGGGCCCCGCTGTCAATGGACTCTTAAGAAGCATTATTTACTACGCATGAGAATTATTGTGGTGGTGGTGGTGTTGGGGTGGGGGGTGGATTGTTGCTGGGAAAAGAAGGCTAACAGTGTCTGTGCACTGTATGTATAGCCCTGCATATTCTCTGCTCTCTCTCTCTCACACACACACACACACACACAGAGAGAGAGAGAGAGAGCAAGACTTTTGAACCAGTGCAATTGGGATTGGTGGGAGCACACTAAAAAACTGTCAAAAACTCTTCAACCCCCCACAACTGAATTTAGGCCTCTTATCCGGCCCACCTATTCCTTACTCTGATCTGACAAATGATGAACAACCTGCTCTATCTATTATCTGGCGTTGACATCAGTGCATGGTCAAAGGCTGTTTATAAACATGGTTAATCCTCGGCAGCCTTCCTCAAGGGGGTGTCCTCCAAACATGTTGGACTGCAAATCCCACCAGGCTGGGAATGGTGGGAATTGCAGTGCAAAGGTTGTGATTGTTGGGACTGGAGTGCCCATAAAAAGAAGTTACAAGTATATATAAACCACAAACAGGAAAATTCTTGACAGTAAAAGTGGGGGAAACAGTTAGTTAAACATCCTATCTTTTTTCTGTAGGTGTTTTAATTATAATGTTCTTTGCTAGATTTCTGCTAAAAATACATTCCTTTAACAGCTGCAGAACTTGCCACATCTTGCATGAATTTTAGTACTAGCCACCATTTCCTGGATAGATAAATGTGTTAGTGATACTGGCAAGAGGTCTTCCTGGGAAGTGACTGTAACAGCTACATTCCTGGGTCTCAGAGCAAAGCTCATTCTGCTCCCTCTGTAACTGCTTTCCCCAAGTTAGTGTCCTCCACTACACTTCCATATCTTCCAATAGCCGAACTCTGACCTGTTGAATAGCAACTCCCATCATCCCCATCCAGCAGGAGGGTGGGAGCTGTTGTCTAACACATCTGGAGTACACATTGGGAGTAGCTACTCTACAAGTTAAGAAGCAGAACTTCATGGTGTTGACCAACCTTGCTTGTTGATCTCTAGCTTCTGGGGGACAGATATACTGCTTCTGAACATGGAGGGTTTGTTTAGCTATCATGGCTAACAAACTTTCATACTGTCATCTTACAATCTGAGTTTCTGGCTTTTCTTGTCTAATGCTTTATAATATATGTTTCATCATTTTTGTATGTTTGTTAGCAACTCAGTGTGTTTGTGCATATGTATAGGCATGTGTATATAGACAGATGGAACAGGTAACAGAAAAATGGAAGACCTATTATACATTAATTGCTCTAAGCATTTTTAAAAGCCACACAATTGCCATTTCTTGAGACAGAAAATCCCAGAAATTACTTATTCACCATGTGAAAATATACTGCCTTCTCTGGATTTAATTGTATAGAATTTACAACAGACAAGATACCTAGCATTGTGATGATACATGGGCTTGAAATCTTGTTCCAATTCATGGTCAACAAAAAGACAGAACTACTCCTAAATCCCCATGCACCAGGGCAGGGGCAAGAGGCAAAGGGAGGCAAACCCTTCAAATCACTGCTCTTTCTGGCCAGGCTGCTCTGGCATTGCCACCATATCTCTGAAGTTACCATGTGCTGACTGGTATTTTCCATAAATGAATCATATGAGGACAACACTGGTGAACAAGACTATGACTGGTGGCTGGCACCGGAGATTTTAAGGATGCTGTAACTGTTGTTGTCATTGTTGCATCATTAACAAGTGCATTAACAAGACCACAGGATTGGATGGCAAAGCACTTACCATCACCAAAGAGATGAACCACCAGTTTTGTCAGTGCCTGTTTCAAACTGTGTTCCACAAGTTTCGTTGCTTCCATGGTGTGCATCGCTTGCTTGTGTGGTGTACGATGGCCTTGTTCAAACAGGCAAAATTTTTCTTCACCACTGACATCACTGAACAGCTGTTCAAAAATAAACAGCATTTAGCATTTATATGGTATCATTTGAATATTCAGAGCACTTCTTATATATGCTGTCAATTATCCTCACAAACATACCTGTGAAGTAGGTCAGTATTTTTGTTTCTGAGGCTTTAAATACTTTAATTAAATTTCAGTGACATTTCGCAAACATACCTTTTAGAAAGCAGGTCAGTGTCTTCCCAATTTTGGTAGGCTGAGAAAGTGTGACATGTCATAGGCCACCAAAGTAAATTCACTCTTCAGGTGAGATGTGAACCTGAGAGTTCCAGGTTACAGAAACTATGTAATGCATCCTGGAGGTTCTTTAAAATGATGGTGAATAGTGGAGGATTAAGTTTTCAAGTGGGTATCAGGAAGTATCAGAGACGCAGAGTGATTGGATGGCCTAGAAATATCCCCAATCAATCAATCAATCAATCAATGCTGAACCTCTTTTGGCCCAAGAGTCAAACCCCATTTCAGAGAATCTATTGGAAGCTGCATTCCAGGGCCAAAGGCAAAAGAGGAGGTGGAAGCTACCAGTAAATTTAGCTTAAATCTCTTGCTACAAGCAACAGAGTCTTAGGAAAGGCATTCAACTTTTTAGAAAGGAAAACTGCACAAAAACCAGGAGACTGTCAAATGGCTGGTGGCCAGGGAAACCGCAAGGCCAGGAAGAAAGGGTGTGACTTGCTGGGGAACCCTCAGAGACAGACTGGGAGCACAGGTGAGTCTAAGGTCCTGTACCCCTCTGTAGAATGTGAACACACTTTATGCTGAACTTTACCAAGATATAAATACACATCTAGCATCGGGTGCTGAGCACCTGATCTAGTCCCTGCTCCAGCAGGAGACTCCACTGTCAAAGCCTTCTAGATCTATTCTTCCTCTTCTTCACCTTCACTTAGATCTGTGTATTCATCTGTTGTCTACATTATATCTAGAGGACTGAGAAAGCAAACAAATAATAGCCTACCTCAGGAGGAGCAGCTGGTGCAATGCTGATGAGCAGCAGACTGGGTTACTGAGGAGGTTTTGCCCTGCACGTGGAAGGAATTGGCCTGTCTGTCTGTCTGTCTGTCTGTGTCTTTCTTTGTTTGGGCAATCAGGATATACACCAGAATCCCAAGTAACTATTAAGACTAGGCATGCCTAGCCCTCAAAAGATGCAGAAAAAATCCTGAAATAGGTGATGAATGAGTGTTCTATTATTTTTCAGTGGGTGGAATGCATACAAGAATCACATTTATCCTCGCAACCACCCTGAGAGGTAGGTTGTGTTGCATGTGTGACAGAGAGAGAGAGACAGATGAGAGCTGTCTAAGGTCAATCAGTGAGTTATGTGGCTGAGCATCAACTTGAACCTGGGCATTTCACATACAAATACAACCATTTATCCAGGGCAGCCACTCATGCTTTCTTTAATGCAGTTACTAAGTGCTCCTGAGGACACGGTATGTTACTCAGCAAGCAGCTTCATCTTCTAGCCTTGTCCTTAAAGAACAGAGACTGGCTTGCAAGGAAATACATCATGGTTGAAAGAGAAAAGTAGTTGCCAAGAACTGTTGGAAAGGATGATGTTATAACCAAATGTTCTGCTGAAGGGGACCTCTGGAGTCTTTGAGAAGGCTGGGAAAAACATTAATACGGGCAAAGAACCTCAGGGATACATGCCTTACAGAGAAAGTGGAAAGCAGCAAGGGTGGGATGTCCAAGTACTTGCAATATGGAAGTAGTTGCTCTGGATTAGCTTACCTGCCAGTTATAGATGTGTGTACATTAAATCAACTGATTCCATAGAAAAGGAGAATGGGAATGGGAAATCAGTACCTAAAGGGTTTAATAGCTGTTTCCTGGCCCTAAGACAAATCCAATTAAGTGCCCTTCCTTGCTAAATCAAAATCAAGATTCGAACTCAACTGTCTTCCATGCTTGTTCAACAAGTCTGGCTAAATCTCTTCCTTAAGTTTATATGTATATGTGTTCACTAAGACCCCATTCTTGTGCTTTCCTTAAAATTACATCAACATTCCTAATAGTTACCAGCCTTTCCTTAAAAGCTAAAAACCTCCCTGTAACATTCATTCTTACAGGGTGGGTTCACACAATGCATGAAACCACCCTGTGAAGATGCTATGCAAAGTAGGTTCTGTGAACAAGCCATAGTACACCCAACAGAAGACTGTGCTTGTGCTCACTATGGGTTGTTCTCCCCTTCCTCTCCCGCAAGTCTTCCAGCTGGTATCCAGTGTGTTCCATGCCAGAATCCATCTTGTCTTGCCCTTTCCACTCCAACTGCTATCCTGTTTCATTTTCTACCATTGATCAACTGGTGGCAAGCATTTGTTCTTTCAGCTCCAGAGAACACATACCATGTTTCCCCAAAAATAAGACATAACTGGAAAATAAGCCCTAGCATGATTTTTCAGGATGCTCGTAATATAAGCCCTACCCCAAAAATAAGCCCCAGTTAAGATCGTTAGCCAGATGGAGAGGGAAACACAGTGGTATGTCTGTTGCAACACACGACAGTCGTATTGAATTATAAAACAATAATGTTAATATATAATTAAATATAAATAAATAATATTATTGCCATTAATACTTAAAATAAATGATAAAATACATTCTAATCAAGTATTTGTAAATACCGAAGCGGGTGCCTTTGGACAAGAGGTAAACGCCTATGTAAACAGATGAACACGAGACTTCTTGTCAAATGACCAATCGGAGTACAGACACAATGCATGAATCATGTCAATACGTTGTGTGTTGTAATGGACGTTCTTAATGCATGGATGCAAAATGCAAGATGGATGCGAAAAGGAAGAGCTATTCTGTCGAGTACAAGAAAGGAATTGTGGGGGACTCTTGGGGTAAGAATCTTATGGCTTTCATAAGAAAAAATAAGACATCACCTGAAAATAAGCCCTAATGCGTCTTTTGGAGCAAAAATTAATATAAGTACCAGTCTTATTTTCAGGGAAACATGGTAGTTATTTCCATAATGTGTGTGCATGGGGGAACGTCTTTCAGAGGTGCACAAGAGCACACTTACTGCTGTTCAATAAATGCATTCCTGCCTGCTCAATGTCCTCCATGCTCTCAAATGGAGGGAAGTGCAGTTAGTAACATGGATTGAAATTGACAAAGCAAGACTGCATACAGGCTCCACATTTTCAGCACTTCCTTAGGTCTTCAGCTACTCCTGAAAGGGGAGATAGTAACACTACATATACTTTTTGGAGCACTTTCTGCTGTGGTTGATGAGGTTCCCTGAGTGTTCTAAAATAACCCTGGGAGGACAGTTTAAAGAGATGGATTGAATGGGTCCACACAGGTGGGCATCTAAGTCCCCTTTTGGACTTACTTTTACCTTACCAGTAATGCCCAACTGACAGTTCAGCCATTGTCCTCAAATGACCCTACAGGCAGTGACAGCTGCATGTGACCCTGACTTTCTAGACATTCAGGGGTTTAGGGCTTATTCTGTCCCCACAACTAAAATTCACTCAAATGGATGAGGAAGTGGAGGCCTGACTATACTGGCATCAGTGGATCTAAACATAGACATCCAGGTTGTTGAGAATAATTGCCCCAGTAACTTTCAGACCTTACTCCCTAAAGGTGACCATTTCAGAAACATTTTATGTGTCAACATTTATATTCCACCTAGGAGTTTGCCTCCCACCCCCACGCCCTGGGAAGGGGTGCATTTGGGGCATGCTGACAGGTTAGACTCGTTAATTTTTCATTTCCCAAAGGCACATGTTATTTTGTGTGGGGACTTTAATGCAAGAATAGGAGCGGGTCATTTAGAGGAAGGAAATGGCCTGAATGTTCAGCGTACCAGGCATGCCCACCTATTAGAATGTTCTTCAAAGGACAGCTGCAAGTGTGCACTTGTACAACCCGAATGACCAGCAAAAACAGCAACAGCAACAGGATGTTAAAAATTGCAAATACATTTACCCACATTTATGGGCCCCTGTATTCTTTCTTTATTTATCTATTTACTTATTTAGTAAAGGTGGCAAACCACTGATGGGGGCAAACCATTTGAGCATCTGTGGAGCAGTTGTCACTGGGAGCACCACAGGCAAGGTCATAAAGACTGTCAAGTGACTTTTGTCATTTTTGCTGAGGAGCTCACTAGGCACTTCCTACAAACCACTATGGACTTGGTACCCAAGGGTTGAACTACGGATGTCAGGGCAGATTGTTGGCCAAAACTAAGCCACCCTATGGGAAGCAGTCTCAATTCAGAAGACAGAATAACCCAGCATTTCTAGAGTCATGATAGGTTGCTGTGTCATGCGAGTCCAGTCACAGAGTTGTTCCAACCCTTTAAGTTTGGTTGCCCTTTTCTGGACTGTTCCTAGCTCTATAAAATCATTTTAACATCCATTCCCCCAATTCAGAAAGATCCTGAGTTATGTACTTATTAGCAATGGGGAAACATTTATTCTGATCAGTTCTGAGGATAGCAGAAATTAAAGCTGCTCCACCTCTACTCCCCAAAGATAAACAATTATCTTGATCTTGATCAAGATAATTGTTGGGAAATATGGTATGTGCAAAGAGCCATCCCTGGTTGCCCTCTTGGCAGCAGCTGGGTATAGGAAGGGGGATTGGAGACAAGGCACCCAAATTGTGCTGCAATCGTGGTCTTTAAGAGTTGAATGTAGGCTGCAGGTCATCCACTCAGCCTTAGAAATATGCATTTGCCTGTTTCCTTTTAAAAGAAAAGAATAAAACAGTGTGTAAAATTATGCCAATCTTCCTCTTCGTTAGAAAGAATCCATATCCTAAAGCCATTTACCCTGGAACCAAACATTTGTGCACGTGCAATGCAGAACTTGCACAAATGTTTGAATCGATAAATTAACAATGACACTATGTGGGACACATTCATCAACAAGGATATTTCCTGCCATCACTCGTTGACACAACTTAAAAAAAAAACGTGTAAGATCACTCCCTAGCCCTTGCTGGGCCCA